CCTCTACTTGGTATTTACCCACAAGAAAAACGAGCCACAACACAACAAGATATATGCACACCAATGTTCATAGCAGCACTATTTACAATAGCAAAAAGATGGAGACAGACTAAATGCCCATCAGTTGAAGAATGGATAAATAAACTGTGGTACATACACACAATGGGATACTATGCTACCTTGAAAAACAACAAAGAAGCTGCAAGCCACCGCCTAACATGGATGAACCTTGTGGACATTATGCTAAGTGAAATTAGTCAGTCACAAAAGGAGAAATACTGCATAGGGCCATTATTGTAAAAGACTAAGAAAAAGAACCCACCCTAAAAGGGGGGGAGAAATTATTTATATAATTGTTGATCACCAGGATGTATGGGATGAAAGCAGGGGAGGGAGGGATGGGAAGATAGAGTACATGTTGTGGAATACACACAGGATAGCTTGAGTGCTCGGGAGTCGGGGGGAGGGTGGGCAATACACAAGAAGGGGGCCGGGAATGAAAGAACAAAGCGGATGGGAGAATGGTTTGGCAGGTTCACATGGGCTAAGTGGATCAGAGGTAAATGATGATGTATGCACAACCTTGGAACAACAGGGCTTCAGGATACGGATACAGGGATTGAGGCATGGTTTGAATGGTTAAAATATGGGAATAATATGAAGATGCTTCGCTGTGTTTTGAATCTTGTTTTCCCTTGCCTACCATTGTGAAATAGACACTTGAGGGGGGCTAGAAGGAATAGCCAGAAACATCACAATAGAAAGCTTGTAGGTCCGTCTTCAACCTATAACTGATTGGAATACCTTAAAGGGGGCTCGAAGTTGCTCAGTGAAAGAGGCCTCCTTTGGAGCTTTTGCATTGCATAAGACCATAGGTGGAAACCAGATCCCCATCCAGAATTATCTGAGGTGGGAAATTTTTACTGGAAAGGACGAGCAGACCAGCCTGGAGCAGCTAGAACAACAGATGCTACTTCAAGAAGAAAGACCAGCAGGAAAAATCAGAAACAATAACAGCAATCTGATTGATTACTACAAGAACAAGTAAGCTGTTTGCCCAGGAGTCATCAAGGCAAGTGGTCAGGTCCCCTCAGAGCAAACTCCCTTCCAAGACTAGTTGTGGTAGCTGGGTACCATCTGAGTTTTGGTATAAGAGTTGTGGAGACTAATATTCACACATTCCATCAGTCCATTGGACTAATTGATTCCAAGCAACATCAATTACTATCACTCTTTATTCTTCCACACATGGAGAAACTGATAGTTGCACCTTCTCTTGAGCTTTTAAGATCCCAGACCCTACTCACGAAAGCAGGATGTAGAACATTGTCTTTGTGTACTATGGTATGCCAATTAATCACAGCGTCTCTGAGACTATGGTCCTGCCCCAGAAATTCATTGTTTAAAGGTGTTTTATAATGTCTAAGAAGGTTTCATAATTTTATCTGCTGCATGCTCCACAAATTTCATAGTTATGTCTGCAGCAAAGCTCATGGAGGCAGGGCTTGATGGCAGCTAGGGTAGAGGTGCAGTGAGGTTCGCTGTCAGCAATTCCACAGAATACCAGGCAAAGGAGAGTCAGGGAAGAGCTAGAAAACTTGGAACCACATAGGTAGGAATATTTAAAAAGTTTGAAGGTTTATAGCTAGTGGAACTTGTAGTGGAAGTAAGAAATCACATACTTTTGAATCTGCCGGGCTCCGAGGCCTGTAAATGAAAACTTGGCTGAGACCAAATGGCAAGACCAAGCAGGGGAGCAGACACACTATGGGGGAAAAAAAACCTCTATTTTGCAGAAGATAGGGTCCAATACATAGAAAACCCGAAGACTAAGTAAAAAAGCTATTAGACCTCATTGGAAGATTCTGTAAAGTGGCAGGATATAAGATCAACATACAAAAATCAGTTGGATTCCTCCATACCAAAAACGGCAATGTTGAAAAGGACATTAGGAAAGCAATACCATTTACAATAGACTCCCAAAGGATGAAATATCTAGGAATAAATGTAACCAGAGAAACAAAGGACTTATACAAAGAAAACTACAAAACAGTGCTGCAAGAAACCAAAAGAGACTTACAGAATTGGAAAAACATACCATGTTCCTGGATAGGAAGACTCAACATTGTGAAAATATCAATACTCCCGAAAGCAATTTACACATATAATGCAATCCCAATCCTGATTCAAAGAACATTCTTCAAAGAGATGGAAAACAAAACAAAACAAAAAACAATTACACACTTTGTATGGAAAGAGAGAGAGCCAAGATAAGCTAAGCACTGCTTAATAAGAGGAATACATTTGGAAACCTCTCACTCCCCGACTTCAAAATTTATTATACGGCTACAGTGGTCAAACCTGCTTGGTACTGGTACAA